CTAGGCCCTTGTTCTTGCAATTTTGCACTCGCTAGGCCCTTGTTCTTGCAATTTTGCACACGCTAGGCCCTTGTTCTTCCAATTTTGCACTTGCTAGGCCCTTGTTCTTGAAATTCTGCACTTGCTAGGCCCTTGTTCTTGCAATTTTGCACACGCTAGGCCCTTGTTCTTCCAATTTTGCACTCGCTAGGCCCTTGTTCTTGCAATTTTGCACACGCTAGGCCCTTGTTCTTGCAATTTTGCACACGCTAGGCCCTTGTTCTTGCAATTTTGCACTCGCTAGGCCCTTGTTCTTGAAATTTTGCACACGCTAGGCCCTTGTTCTTGCAATTTTGCACACGCTAGGCCCTTGTTCTTCTAATTTTGCACTCGCTAGGCCCTTGTTCTTGAAATTTTGCACACACTAGGCCCTTGTTCTTGCAATTTTGCACACGCTAGGCCCTTGTTCTTGCAATTTTGTACACGCTATACCCTTGTTCTTGCTATTTTGCTCACGCTAGGCCCTTGTTCTTCCAATTTTGCACATGCTAGGCCCTTGTTCTTGAAATTTTGCACACGCTAGGCCCTTGTTCTTGCAATTTTGTACACGCTAGGCCCTTGTTCTTCCAATTTTGCACTCGCTAGGCCCTTGTTCTTGAAATTTGCACACGCTAGGCCCTTGTTCTTGAAATTTTGCACACGCTAGGCCCTTGTTCTTCCAATTTTGCACTCGCTAGGCCCTTGTTCTTGCAATTTTGCACACGCTAGGCCCTTGTTCTTGCAATTTTGCAAACGCTAGGCCCTTGTTCTTCCAATTTTGCACTCGCTAGGCCCTTGTTCTTGCAATTTTGCACACGCTAGGCCCTTGTTCTTGCAATTTTGCACACGCTAGGCCCTTGTTCTTGCAATTTTGCACTCGCTAGGCCCTTGTTCTTGAAATTTTGCACTTGCTAGGCCCTTGTTCTTGCAATTTTGCACACGCTAGGCCCTTGTTCTTCCAATTTTGCACTCGCTAGGCCCTTGTTCTTGCAATTTTGCACACGCTAGGCCCTTGTTCTTGCAATTTTGCACACGCTAGGCCCTTGTTCTTGCAATTTTGTACACGCTATACCCTTGTTCTTGCTATTTTGCTCACGCTAGGCCCTTGTTCTTCCAATTTTGCACATGCTAGGCCCTTGTTCTTGAAATTTTGCACACGCTAGGCCCTTGTTCTTGCAATTTTGTACACGCTAGGCCCTTGTTCTTCCAATTTTGCACTCGCTAGGCCCTTGTTCTTGAAATTTGCACACGCTAGGCCCTTGTTCTTGAAATTTTGCACACGCTAGGCCCTTGTTCTTCCAATTTTGCACTCGCTAGGCCCTTGTTCTTCCAATTTTGCACTCGCTAGGCCCTTGTTCTTGCAATTTTGTACACGCTATACCCTTGTTCTTGCTATTTTGCACACACTAGGCCCTTGCTCTTCCAATTTTGCACATGCTAGGCCCTTGTTCTTGCAATTTTGCACACGCTAGGCCCTTGTTCTTGCAATTTTGCACACGCTAGGCCCTTGTTCTTCCAATTTTGCACTCGCTAGGCCCTTGTTCTTGAAATTCTGCACTTGCTAGGCCCTTGTTCCTGAAATTTTGCACATGCTAGGCCCTTGTTCTTGTAATTTTGCACACGCTAGGCCCTTGTTCTTCCAATTTTGCACTCGCTAGGCCCTTGTTCTTGAAATTTTGCACACGCTAGGCCCTTGTTCTTGCAATTTTGCACACGCTAGGCCCTTGTTCTTCCAATTTTGCACTCGCTAGGCCCTTGTTCTTGAAATTTTGCACACGCTGGGCCCTTGTTCTTGAAATTTTGCACTCGCTAGGCCCTTGTTCTTCCAATTTTGCACTCGCTAGGCCCTTGTTCTTGCAATTTTGTACACGCTATACCCTTGTTCTTGCTATTTTGCACACGCTAGGCCCTTGTTCTTCCAATTTTGCACTCGCTAGGCCCTTGTTTTTGCAATTTTGCACACGCTAGGCCCTTGTTCTTTCAATTTTGCACACGCTAGGCCCTTGTTCTTGCAATTTTGCACTCGCTAGGCCCTTGTTCTTGAAATTTTGCACACGCTAGGCCCTTGTTCTTGCAATTTTGCACACGCTAGGCCCTTGTTCTTCTAATTTTGCACTCGCTAGGCCCTTGTTCTTGAAATTTTGCACACGCTAGGCCCTTGTTCTTGCAATTTTGCACACGCTAGGCCCTTGTTCTTGCAATTTTGTACACGCTATACCCTTGTTCTTGCTATTTTGCTCACGCTAGGCCCTTGTTCTTCCAATTTTGCACATGCTAGGCCCTTGTTCTTGAAATTTTGCACACGCTAGGCCCTTGTTCTTGCAATTTTGTACACGCTAGGCCCTTGTTCTTCCAATTTTGCACTCGCTAGGCCCTTGTTCTTGAAATTTGCACACGCTAGGCCCTTGTTCTTGAAATTTTGCACACGCTAGGCCCTTGTTCTTCCAATTTTGCACTCGCTAGGCCCTTGTTCTTGCAATTTTGCACACGCTAGGCCCTTGTTCTTGCAATTTTGCACACGCTAGGCCCTTGTTCTTCCAATTTTGCACTCGCTAGGCCCTTGTTCTTGCAATTTTGCACACGCTAGGCCCTTGTTCTTGCAATTTTGCACTCGCTGGGCCCTTGTTCTTGAAATTTTGCACTTGCTAGGCCCTTGTTCTTGCAATTTTGCACACGCTAGGCCCTTGTTCTTCCAATTTTGCACTCGCTAGGCCCTTGTTCTTGCAATTTTGCACACGCTAGGCCCTTGTTCTTGCAATTTTGCACACGCTAGGCCCTTGTTCTTGCAATTTTGTACACGCTATACCCTTGTTCTTGCTATTTTGCTCACGCTAGGCCCTTGTTCTTCCAATTTTGCACATGCTAGGCCCTTGTTCTTGAAATTTTGCACACGCTAGGCCCTTGTTCTTGCAATTTTGTACACGCTAGGCCCTTGTTCTTCCAATTTTGCACTCGCTAGGCCCTTGTTCTTGAAATTTGCACACGCTAGGCCCTTGTTCTTGAAATTTTGCACACGCTAGGCCCTTGTTCTTCCAATTTTGCACTCGCTAGGCCCTTGTTCTTCCAATTTTGCACTCGCTAGGCCCTTGTTCTTGCAATTTTGTACACGCTATACCCTTGTTCTTGTTATTTTGCACACGCTAGGCCCTTGCTCTTCCAATTTTGCACATGCTAGGCCCTTGTTCTTGCAATTTTGCACACGCTAGGCCCTTGTTCTTGCAATTTTGCACACGCTAGGCCCTTGTTCTTCCAATTTTGCACTCGCTAGGCCCTTGTTCTTGAAATTCTGCACTTGCTAGGCCCTTGTTCCTGAAATTTTGCACATGCTAGGCCCTTGTTCTTGCAATTTTGCACACGCTAGGCCCTTGTTCTTCCAATTTTGCACTCGCTAGGCCCTTGTTCTTGAAATTTTGCACACGCTAGGCCCTTGTTCTTGCAATTTTGCACACGCTAGGCCCTTGTTCTTCCAATTTTGCACTCGCTAGGCCCTTGTTCTTGAAATTTTGCACACGCTAGGCCCTTGTTCTTGCAATTTTGCAAACGCTCGGCCCTTGTTCTTGCAATTTTGCACTCGCTAGGCCCTTGTTCTTGCAATTTTGCACTCGCTAGGCCCTTGTTCTTGCAATTTTGCACACGCTAGGCCCTTGTTCTTCCAATTTTGCACATGCTAGGCCCTTGTTCTTGAAATTTTGCACACGTTGCGCCCTTGTTCTTCCTATTTTGCACATGCTAGGCCCTTGTTCTTGAAATTTTGCACACGCTAGGCCCTTGTTCTTGCTATTTTGCACATGCTAGGCCCTTGTTCTTCCAGTTTTGCACACGCTAGGCCCTTGTTCTATAAATTTTGCACTCGCTAGGTCCTTGTTCTTGAAGTTTTGCACACGCTAGGCCCTTGTTCTTGCAATTTTGCACTCGCTAGGCCCTTGTTCTTGAAATTTTGCACTCGCTAGGCCCTTGTTCCTGAAATTTTGCACACGCTAGGCCCTTGTTCTTGCAATTGTGCACACGCTAGGCCCTTGTTCTTCCAATTTTGCACTCGCTAGGCCCTTGTTCTTGAAATTTTGCACACGCTAGGCCCTTGTTCTTGCAATTTTGCACACGCTAGGCCCTTGTTCTTCCAATTTTGCACACGCTAGGCCCTTGTTCTTCCAATTTTGCACTCGCTAGGCCCTTGTTCTTGAAAGTTTGCACACGCTAGGCCCTTGTTCTTGCAATTTTGCACACGCTAGGCCCTTGTTCTTCCAATTTTGCACTTGCCAGGCCCTTGTTCTTGCAATTTTGCACACGCTAGGCCCTTGTTCTTGCAATTTTGCACATGCTAGGCCCTTGTTATTCCAATTTTGCACTCTCTAGGCCCTTGTTCTTGCAATTTTGCACACGCTAGGCCCTTGTTCTTGCAATTTTGCACACGCTAGGCCCTTGTTCTTGCAATTTTGTACACGCTATACCCTTGTTCTTGCTATTTTGCTCACGCTAGGCCCTTGTTCTTCCAATTTTGCACATGCTAGGCCCTTGTTCTTGAAATTTTGCACACGCTAGGCCCTTGTTCTTGCAATTTTGTACACGCTAGGCCCTTGTTCTTCCAATTTTGCACTCGCTAGGCCCTTGTTCTTGAAATTTGCACACGCTAGGCCCTTGTTCTTGAAATTTTGCACACGCTAGTGTCAGATTTATATGACATAGTTGCTGTAGGCTTTAGTGGGGTAGCACATATGGGGTACAGGGTTTCTAGGGTTGTATTTGTACCCAATCTTTCCTTAGTCATTCATTCCTGTTTTTCTTTACTTCACATGGTATAGAGCGGGTCCTACCTTAGGACCGTTTTTTTAGGGCCCACCGAAGCGCGCCCCGAGGCGCGCCCTTTTTTTTTTAGCGACCCCCCTCGGGTCGCCTTTTCCCTCGCGGCCCCGCTGTCCCTCAGACGCGGCCCCGCCACCTCTCCTGATCGCGGCCCCGCCGCCTGTTTGACGCGGCCTCGCCGCCTACCCTGACGCGGCCCCGCCGCCTCCCCTGACGCGGCTCCGCCGCCTCTCCTGACGCGGCCCCGCCGCCTGTCTGACGCGGCCCCGCCGCCTCCCCTGACGCGGCCCTGCCGCCTCCCCTGACGCGGCTCCCCCGCCTCCCCTGACGCGGCACCGCCGCCTCCCCTGACGCGGCTCCGCCGCCTCCCCTGACGCGGCCCTGCCGCCTCCCCTGACGCGGCTCCGCCGCCTCTCCTGCCGGCCCGCCACTGCACCTGCCGGCCCGCCGCTGCACCTGCCGGCCCGCCACTGCACCCTACGGCCCGCCGCTGCACCTGCTGGCCCGCCACTGCACCTGCCGGCCCGCCGCTGCACCCAGCGGCCTGCCGCCTCTGACGGCCTCGCCGCTGCACCTGCCGGCCTCGCTGCTGCACCTGTCGGCCCGCCACTGCACCCTACGGCCCGCCACTGCACCCTACGGCCCGCCGCCTGCACCTGCCGGCCCGCCGCTGCACCTGCCGGCTCGCCACTGCACCTGCCGGCCCGCCGCTGCACCTGCCGGCCCGCCACTGCACCGGTCAACCCGCCGCTGCACCTGACGGCCCCGCCCCTGCATCTCCTGGCCAAGCCGCCTCAGCAGCCGTGCCGCCCGGGAGCCGAGCCGCCCTGCACCCAAGCCGCCCAGCCGCCGAGCAGCCCGGGAGCCGAGCCGCCCTGCGCCCGAGCCGCCCAGCAGCCGAGCCGCCCAGCACCCGAGCCGCCTTTCTGCATACCTACACGACCTGCCCTGCCTGGTGAGCACAGTCCCACTGACACTGCGAGCTCTTTCCCTGCTGCTTGCACTGCGTCGCTGTCGTCGCCATGGCTACTCCTAGTGTCCTAGCTTTTGACGCTGAGGGTCGCGCCATTGATTTTGAGGTCTGGTTAGACGACCTGCAGCTGTTCTTACAGTGCGACAGGGCTGACGACCTTTCTCTCTTTGATCTCACCTCTGGCGCCTCTCCTGCTCCTGCTGCTGATGCTGATCCCGCTGTCCGCTCTAAGTGGGCCACCCGCGATGCTGCTGCACGTCTTGCTGTGCGTCGCCACCTCCCTACCTCTGAGCGTGCGCACTTCAGTCAGTACAAGAGTGCTCAGACCTTGTACGACGCTGTAGTTGCGCGCTACTCCTCCCCTGCCACTGCTGCACTGAGCCGTCTCATGCTTCCCTACCTCTTTCCTGACCTCTCTGCCTTTCCCACTGTCGCTGACCTCATTACGCACCTCCGCACTAGTGACACTCGCTACCGCGCCGCCCTTCCTGCTGAGTTCTGCGCTAAGAACCCCCCCCCCATGTACATCGCTCTCTACTACGTAGTCGCGCGCCTCCCTGACTCCCTTCGAGTCGTCAGGGACCACTTTGTCGCAGTCTGTCCCACCACCCTCACCGTCGACCTCCTCGAGAAGGCCCTCCTCGCAGCGGAGAAGAGCATCGTCGCTGTGGGTGCTTCTCGTGGTGACCCTCGCACCCCCATCTTTGAGGGGTGCTCTCCTTCCCCCTTGCTGCCCTCTGTTGCCTCTGCTGCTGCTGCCGACCTGCTTGGTCTTGAGTCGGTCGGCGCGGCGTCTACCCCTAGTGGGAGACGTCGCTCCAGCAAGGGCAAGGGGGGCAAGGGCGCGGGTGGAGCTGGAGGGGGCGGTGGAGGTGGCGGCGGTGGCGGCGGAGGGAGTGGGGGTGGCGGCGGGACTAGTGGCGGGGGTGGTGGTGGTGGTGGCAGCAGCGGCGGAGACGGTGGTGGTGGTGCCAGCGGTGGTGGTGGAGGCAGCGGCGGAGGTGGAGGCGGCGGAGGTGGAGGCGGTGGAGGCGGCAGCGGAGGAGGCAGTGGTGGTGGAGGGGGTGGGTCTGGTCGGGGTGGTACCCAGCAGCGTAGCGGCGGTGGTGGTGGCCAGCGCTCGCAGCGGCAGCAGCAGCAGCGCTCTCGGGACATCCCTTCGCCTCAGCAGCTTCGTGAGTGGTACGCTGGGCGTCAGAGGGGTGGGGGTACTGGTCCCTGCACCTACGTTCTTTGTTCCGGCGACCGCGCGGGTGAGCAGTGTGGGGGTGCCCACGCCACCCAGCGCTGCTTTGGCCGCCTGACGGACGCCTGGCGTCAGCAGTTCCCTGGGGCTAGTGAGATCCCTCGCTGGGATGAGCTTCTCAGGGCTGGTGTAGCGATCTTTGATCTTGATTTTGATGCTATCCTTACTGCTATGTATGTTGTGGATTATAGTGAGGAGAATGAGGGTTACCGCTGTTTCCAGCCCGACCCGGGCATTGGTACTGCTGCGCTAGGTGCTTGTGAGGCTGCTGCTCTAGGTGCCAGTGCGTCTGCGCTCTCAGGTACTGGTGCGACTGCGCTCTCAGGTACTGAGTCGTCCTCGTCCTCCCTCACTTTCACACTTGACTCCGGAGCTTCTCGCTCCTTCTTTCGAGACCGCACTACCCTTACGCCGCTCGGCCGGCCGATTGCAGTCTCCCTTGCTGACCCCTCTGGGGGTCCTGTCCTGTCTCACTTCTCCACTGTCCTCCCGTGTCCGGCTGCCCCTTCGGGCACCCTGTCGGGTCTGTACCTTCCCTCGTTCTCTACGAACTTGGTGAGTGGAGCGGACCTGCAGGATGTGGGTGTTCACCAGTTCACTCCTGCGAGTCAGCGGGTGACCCACTGCACGGAGGCACGCACAGGCCGACACCTGGCCACGTTCTCGCGTCGGCCAGGGTCGAGTCTCTACACCCTGACCGTTGAGTCTCCTCCTGTCCCTGCGTCTGGTCAGGTGGCTGCGTCGGGTCAGGTACTTGCTGCTGCGTCCCGGTCAGGTCCTGAGTCTGCCCCCTGTTCTTGTCGCCTCCTGTCTCACGAGACTCTCCTGTGGCACCACCGTCTTGGCCACCCCTCCTTGCCCCGTCTTCGGAGCATGGCTTCCCGTGTCCTTGTCTCTGGTCTTCCCCAGTCTCTCCCTCCTCTCCCCTCCGGGCCAGGACCTTCCTGTGTCCCCTGTGTCGAGGGTCGCCTCCGGGCTACTCCTCACTCCTCCCACTTCCCCCCGACAGAGGCTCCCCTGCAGACGCTTCACATGGATGTGTGGGGCCCAGCCCCCGTCCGTGGGCAGGGTTACGAGCGCTACTTCCTGTTGGTGGTTGACGACTACTCGCGTTACACCACAGTCCTCCCCTTGCGCAGCAAGGGTGCGGTCACTGAGGTGCTGATCGACTGGATCCGCGAGGCTCGTCTCCAGCTCAGGAAGAGCTTCGGCTCGGACTTTCCTGTTCTGCGTCTGCACTCTGACAGAGGCGGAGAGTTCTCTTCTCGCCTTCTGCGAGACTACTGTCGTGCACGGGGGATCCGCCAGACCTTCACGCTTCCGGACTCACCACAGAAAAATGGGATTGCTGAGCGCCGCATTGGCATGGTCATGGATGTCGCTCGTACGTCCATGATGCATGCGGCTGCCCCCCATTTTCTGTGGCAGTTTGCAGTGAGGTACGCGGCGCATCAGCTCAACCTTCACCCCCGGGTCTCTCGGCCTGCGATGTCCCCAGTCTTGCTGTGGACGGGAAAGGTTGGCGATGCGTCTGTGTTCCGTGTCTGGGGATCTCGGGCGTTTGTCCGCGACTTGTCTGCGGACAAGCTGTCCCCTCGTGCTGCTCCCTGTGTCTTCCTTGGCTTCCCCACTGACGCCCCAGGGTGGCAGTTCTACCACCCCTCCTCTCGTCGTGTTCTGTCCTCCTAGGACGTCACGTTCGACGAGTCAGTCCCCTTCTACCGTCTCTTCCCCTACCGCACTCCTTCCCTCCCCCCTCCCCCGGACTTCCTTGTGCCGGTTCCCCCCCCGGTAGACCCCCTCCCCCCTCAGGTTCCTGCCCCCTCAGGTGTGTCCCAGGTAGACGCCGTTGACCCGGTCGAGGTTACTGGTGACTCTGGTGCTGCTGCGGGTGCTGAGCCTGGGGGTGCTGACTCTGGGGGTACTGTGCGCGGGGGTGCTGAGCCTGGGGGTGCTACTGCTGGGGGTGCTGGGCCTGAGGGTGCTACTGCGGTGGGTGCGGAGCCTGGGGGTGCTGAGCCGGGGGGTACTGTGCCTGGAGGTGCTGGGTCTGGGGGTGCTGGGTCGGGAGCTGCTGAGCCTGGGGGTGCTGAGCTGGGAGCTGCTGAGCCTGGGGGTACTGCGTCTGGAGCTGCTGAGCCTGGGGTTTCTCCTGCTGCTGCGTCTCGCCGGGAGCCCCCCCTCTCCACAGGAGCTGCGCGAGTGGTTCGCTCGCCGCTGGAGGCGTGCTGCTGAGTCTGGAGGTGCTGCTGGGGCTGGAGCTGGAGCTTCTTCGACCGTCGAGGGTGCGGGTGCTGCCGGTCCCGGAGCTGCTGGACCTGCGGGTCCTCCTGGAGCTGGAGCTGCTGAGGGCGTTCGTGCTGAGCCTGCTGCTGTTGGCCCTGCCGCTGGAGGTGTGGGTGGCGCTGGTGCTGTCGCTGAGGGTGCTGGTGCTGTCCCTGCTGAGTCAAGAGCTGCCGCGCGGCCTCGGCCGTACTTCGTTCCGCTCCTGCAGCAGGTTCTTGGTCTTTCTCCTCCAGTAGAGGGTCCACCGCCTGTCCAGTCGCAGTCCCTGCTGGAGCCTTCCTCTCCACTGCCTGCTCCCTCTCCTTACACTGGTCCTACTGGAGGTCTTGCTGAGCGTCGTGAGCCTGCGTCTCGTCCCGCGTCGCCTGTTCGTGCTGCTCGCGCTAGTGGTCGCAGTTCGCGTCAGCGTCCTCCTCCTGTCCCTGGCACGCACCGGATGTCTCTGCGTCCGTCCACTGCTCCTCTGCGTGCCCCTTTGCCTTCTCCTCCTGAGTCCTCTCTTCCTGCGCTTGCCGACCCTGAGTCGGACTCTCTTCGCGCTGCGAGTCCTACTGTCACGCGTCTGCTTGCTACTGTCGTCACTGACCCCTCTTTTGAGTCCACTGCTGCGTCCGCTCTAGTCGCTGAGCTCGTTGACTTTGCTGCTCGCTGTCGTCTCGACTACGCTGCTAGTCTAGTTGCTGAGTCTGCGTCTGTCTGTCCTCCGTCCGTCGGGGGTGAGTGTGCTCTTGGCACGGACGTCCTAGAGGACAGGCAGGAGGAGTTACAGTGTCTAGCGGCTGCTTCACCTCATCTCGCGTCTGTACTGCTTGCCCCTGAGGGAGACCCGGATGCACTAGACATCCCGACTCCGCGTTCTTACGCGGAGGCCGTAGAGGGTCCCTACTCCTCTCAGTGGCAGGCAGCTATGGATGCAGAGATGGCTTCCTGGAAGTCCACAGGCACCTACGTTGACGCGGTTCCCCCTCCTGGGGCGAACATCGTCAGTGGCATGTGGATCTTCAGGGTGAAGCGGCCGCCGGGCTCTCCACCTGTCTTCAAGGCACGGTACGTTGCTCGTGGCTTCAGTCAGCGGCAGGGAGTTGACTACTTTCAGACCTTCTCTCCCACCCCGAAGATGACTACTCTTCGGGTGCTGCTGCACATAGCCGCTCAGCGCGACTACGAGCTTCACTCTCTCGACTTCAGCACTGCGTTCTTGCAGGGTAGCCTGCACGAGGAGATCTGGCTTCGCCGTCCACCTGGCTTCACTGGGACTTTCCCTCCTGGCACCCAGTGGAGCCTCTGACGGCCAGTCTACGGTCTCCGCCACGCACCGCGTGAGTGGCACGACACACTGAGGACTACGCTTGCGGCTCTTGGGTTTGCTCCTTCTACTGCTGACCCGTCGCTGTTTCTTCGCACCGACACTTCCCTGCCGCCGTTCTACATTCTCGTGTACGTCGACGACTTGGTCTTTGCCACAGCGGACACTGCTGGACTCGCCTACGTGAAGTCTGAGCTGCTGAAGAGACACACGTGCACAGACCTGGGTGAACTGCGCAGCTACCTTGGCTTGCAGATCACTCGGGACAGAGCACGCCGCACCATTACCTTGACTCAGTCACACATGGTGCAGCAGGTCCTTCAGCGCTTTGGCTTCACGTACTCCTCGCCTCAGGCCACTCCTCTGCCTACTCGCCACTCACTCTCAGCTCTGCCTTCGGATGAGTCCGTAGAGTCGAGTGGTCCGTATGCAGAGCTTGTTGGCTGCCTCATGTACCTGATGACCTGCACACGACCTGACCTTGCATACCCTCTGGGCATTCTTGCACGCTATGTTGCTCCTGGGAGACACAGACCGGAGCACATGGCTGCAGCGAAGAGGGTATTGCACTACCTGTGCAGTACGTCGGGCATGGGGCTAGTGCTTGGAGGGCGGAGTCCAGTGGTCCTTACCGGCCACGCGGACGCTTCTTGGGCTGACGACCAGGCTACGCAGCGGTCGTCACAGGGTTACACCTTCAGCCTTGGTTCCGGCTCTGTCTCGTGGCGGTCTACTCGCTCGTCTTCGGTTCTCGGCTCCAGTTGTGAGGCTGAGATCTACGCCGGGGCCATGGCTGCACAGGAGCTTCGCTGGCTCACCTACCTGCTGACTGACCTTGGAGAGCCGCCTCGTTCTCCTCCAGTGCTGTACGTAGACAACAAGGCTATGCTGGCCTTGTGTCGAGAGCAGCGCTTGGAGCACAGAACGAAGCACATTGCTCTCCGCTACTTCCTTGCTCGTGAGCTGCAGCAGCGTGGTCAGTTGCGACTTGCGTACGTGGCCTCTGAGGCCAACACTGCTGATGTGTTCACCAAGGCACTCGCGCCTTGTGACCATCAGCGCTTTTGCACCCAGCTGGGTCTTGTGCCTGTCTTGCCTCACTTGCTCTCCTCTTGACTTCACTTGTACTGTGACATATATATATGCCTGCTCTTGTTTGTCTAGTTTTATATATATGTCTGTACTCCTGCATGTGAACTGGCCTCTGGCCCTACTCTTGTGCTCGGACTGTGTGGTGACTTTGTGATCCACCCTGAGCTTGCTTTGCTTTGCTTGACTGGTCTTGTGACCCCTTGTTCTCCCCCACTTTGCCTATGGGGGTGTGTTAGATTTATATGACATAGTTGCTGTAGGCTATAGTGGGGTAGCACATATGGGGTACAGGGTTTCTAGGGTTGTATTTGTACCCAATCTTTCCTTAGTCATTCATTCCTGTTTTTCTTTACTTCACAGCTAGGCCCTTGTTCTTCCAATTTTGCACTCGCTAGGCCCTTGTTCTTCCAATTTTGCACTCGCTAGGCCCTTGTTCTTGCAATTTTGTACACGCTATACCCTTGTTCTTGCTATTTTGCACACGCTAGGCCCTTGCTCTTCCAATTTTGCACATGCTAGGCCCTTGTTCTTGCAATTTTGCACACGCTAGGCCCTTGTTCTTGCAATTTTGCACACGCTAGGCCCTTGTTCTTCCAATTTTGCACTCGCTAGGCCCTTGTTCTTGAAATTCTGCACTTGCTAGGCCCTTGTTCCTGAAATTTTGCACACGCTAGGCCCTTGTTCTTGCAATTTTGCACACGCTAGGCCCTTGTTCTTCCAATTTTGCACTCGCTAGGCCCTTGTTCTTGAAATTTTGCACACGCTAGGCCCTTGTTCTTGCAATTTTGCACACGCTAGGCCCTTGTTCTTCCAATTTTGCACTCGCTAGGCCCTTGTTCTTGAAATTTTGCACACGCTAGGCCCTTGTTCTTGCAATTTTGCAAACGCTCGGCCCTTGTTCTTGCAATTTTGCACTCGCTAGGCCCTTGTTCTTGCAATTTTGCACTCGCTAGGCCCTTGTTCTTGCAATTTTGCACACGCTAGGCCCTTGTTCTTCCAATTTTGCACTCGCTAGGCCCTTGTTCTTGAAATTTTGCACACGCTGCGCCCTTGTTCTTCCTATTTTGCACATGCTAGGCCCTTGTTCTTGAAATTTTGCACACGCTAGGCCCTTGTTCTTGCTATTTTGCACATGCTAGGCCCTTGTTCTTCCAGTTTTGCACACGCTAGGCCCTTGTTCTATAAATTTTGCACTCGCTAGGTCCTTGTTCTTGAAGTTTTGCACACGCTAGGCCCTTGTTCTTGCAATTTTGCACTCGCTAGGCCCTTGTTCTTGAAATTTTGCACTCGCTAGGCCCTTGTTCCTGAAATTTTGCACACGCTAGGCCCTTGTTCTTGCAATTGTGCACACGCTAGGCCCTTGTTCTTCCAATTTTGCACTCGCTAGGCCCTTGTTCTTGAAATTTTGCACACGCTAGGCCCTTGTTCTTGCAATTTTGCACACGCTAGGCCCTTGTTCTTCCAATTTTGCACACGCTAGGCCCTTGTTCTTCCAATTTTGCACTCGCTAGGCCCTTGTTCTTGAAAGTTTGCACACGCTAGGCCCTTGTTCTTGCAATTTTGCACACGCTAGGCCCTTGTTCTTCCAATTTTGCACTCGCCAGGCCCTTGTTCTTGCAATTTTGCACACGCTAGGCCCTTGTTCTTGCAATTTTGCACATGCTAGGCCCTTGTTCTTCCAATTTTGCACTCTCTAGGCCCTTGTTCTTGCAATTTTGCACACGCTAGGCCCTTGTTCTTGCAATTTTGCAAACGCTCGGCCCTTGTTCTTGCAATTTTGCACTCGCTAGGCCCTTGTTCTTGCAATTTTGCACTCGCTAGGCCTTTGTTCTTGCTATTTTGCACACGCTAGGCCCTTGTTCTTCCAATTTTGCACTCGCTATACCCTTGTTCTTGAAATTCTGCACTCGCTAGGCCCTTGTTCCTGAAATTTTGCACACGCTAGGCCCTTGTTCTTGCAATTTTGCACACGCTAGGCCCTTGTTCTTCCAATTTTGCACTCGCTAGGCCCTTGTTCTTGAAATTTTGCACACGCTAGGCCCTTGTTCTTGCAATTTTGCACACGCTAGGCCCTTGTTCTTCCCATTTCGCACTCGCTAGGCCCTTGTTCTTGAAATTTTGCACACGCTAGGCCCTTGTTCTTGCAATTTTGCAAACGCTCGGCCCTTGTTCTTCCAATTTTACACTCGCTAGGCCCTTGTTCTTGAAATTTTGCACTTGCTAGGCCCTTGTTCCTGAAATTTTGCACACGCTAGGCCCTTGTTCTTGCAATTTTGCACACGCTAGGCCCTTGTTCTTCCAATTTTGCACTCGCTAGGCCCTTGTTCTTGAAATTTTGCACACGCTAGGCCCTTGTTCTTCCAATTTTGCACTCGCTAGGCCCTTGTTCTTGAAATTTTGCACACGCTAGGCCCTTGTTCTTGCAATTTTGCAAACGCTCGGCCCTTGTTCTTGCAATTTTGCACTCGCTAGGCCCTTGTTCTTGCAATTTTGCACTCGCTAGGCCCTTGTTCTTGCAATTTTGCACACGCTAGGCCCTTGTTCTTGCAATTTTGTACATGCTAGGCCCTTGTTCTTGCTATTTTGCACACGCTAGGCCCTTGTTCTTCCAATTTTGCACATGCTAGGCCCTTGTTCTTGCAATTTTACACACGCTAGGCCCTTGTTCTTGCAATATTGCACACGCTAGGCCCTTGTTCTTCCAATTTTGCACTAGCTAGGCCCTTGTTCTTGCAATTTTGCACACGCTAGGCCCTTGTTCTTCCAATTTTGCACTTGCTAGGCCCTTGTTCTTGAAATTTTGCACACGCTAGGCCCTTGTTCTTGCAATTTTGCACACGCTAGGCCCTTGTTCTTCCAATTTTGTACACGCTAGGCCCTTGTTCTTGCTATTTTGCACACGCTAGGCCCTTGTTCTTCCAATTTTGCACATGCTAGGCCCTTGTTCTTGCAATTTTGCACACGCTAGGCCCTTGTTCTTGCAATTTTGTACACGCTAGGCCCTTGTTCTTGCTATTTTGCACACGCTAGGCCCTTGTTCTTCCAATTTTGCACATGCTAGGCCCTTGTTCTTGCAATTTTACACACGCTAGGCCCTTGTTCTTGCAATTTTGCACACGCTAGGCCCTTGTTCTTCCAATTTTGCACTCGCTAGGCCCTTGTTCTTGCAAATTTGCACACGCTAGGCCCTTGTTCTTGCAATTTTGCACACGCTAGGCCCTTGTTCTTGCAATTTTGTACACGCTATACCCTTGTTCTTGCTATTTTGCACACGCTAGGCACTTGTTCTTCCAATTTTGCACATGCTAGGCCCTTGTTCTTGAAAGTTTGCACACGCTAGGCCCTTGTTCTTGCAATTTTGCACACGCTAGGCCCTTGTTCTTCCAATTTTGCACTCGCTAGGCCCTTGTTCTTGAAATTTTGCACACGCTAGGCCCTTGTTCTTGCAATTTTGCACACGCTAGGCCCTTGTTCTTCCAATTTTGCACTCGCTAGGCCCTTGTTCTTGCAATTTTGCACACGCTAGGCCCTTGTTCTTGCAATTTTGCACACGCTAGGCCCTTGTTCTTGCAATTTTGTACACTCTATACCCTTGTTCTTGCTATTTTGCACACGCTAGGCCCTTGTTCTTTCAATTTTGCACATGCTAGGCCCTTGTTCTTGCAATTTTGCACACGCTAGGCCCTTGTTCTTGCAATTTTGCACACGCTAGGCCCTTGTTCTTCCAATTTTGCACTCGCTAGGCCCTTGTTCTTGAAATTCTGCACTCGCTAGGCCCTTGTTCCTGAAATTTTGCACACGCTAGGCCCTTGTTCTTGCAATTTTGGACACGCTAGGCCCTTGTTCTTCCAATTTTGCACTCGCTAGGCCCTTGGTCTTGAAATTTTGCACACGCTAGGCCCTTGTTCTTGCAATTTTGCACACGCTAGGCCCTTGTTCTTGCAATTTTGTACACGCTATACCCTTGTTCTTGCTATTTTGCACACGCTAGGCACTTGTTCTTCCAATTTTGCACATGCTAGGCCCTTGTTCGTGAAAGTTTGCACACGCTAGGCCCTTGTTCTTGCAATTTTGCACACGCTAGGCCCTTGTTCTTCCAATTTTGCACTCGCTAGGCCCTTGTTCTTGAAATTTTGCACACGCTAGGCCCTTGTTCTTGCAATTTTGCACACGCTAGGCCCTTGTTCTTCCAATTTTGCACTCGCTAGGCCCTTGTTCTTGCAATTTTGCACACGCTAGGCCCTTGTTCTTGCAATTTTGCACACGCTAGGCCCTTGTTCTTGCAATTTTGTACACCCTATACCCTTGTTCTTGCTATTTTGCACACGCTAGGCACTTGTTCTTCCAATTTTGCACATGCTAGGCCCTTGTTCTTGAAAGTTTGCACACGCTAGGCCCTTGTTCTTGCAATTTTGCACACGCTAGGCCCTTGTTCTTCCAATTTTGCACTCGCTAGGCCCTTGTTCTTGAAATTTTGCACACGCTAGGCCCTTGTTCTTGCAATTTTGCACACGCTAGGCCCTTGTTCTTCCAATTTTGCACTCGCTAGGCCCTTGTTCTTGCAATTTTGCACACGCTAGGCCCTTGTTCTTGCAATTTTGCACACGCTAGGCCCTTGTTCTTGCAATTTTGTACACTCTATACCCTTGTTCTTGCTATTTTGCACACGCTAGGCCCTTGTTCTTTCAATTTTGCACATGCTAGGCCCTTGTTCTTGCAATTTTGCACACGCTAGGCCCTTGTTCTTGCAATTTTGCACACGCTAGGCCCTTGTTCTTCCAATTTTGCACTCGCTAGGCCCTTGTTCTTGAAATTCTGCACTCGCTAGGCCCTTGTTCCTGAAATTTTGCACACGCTAGGCCCTTGTTCTTGCAATTTTGGACACGCTAGGCCCTTGTTCTTCCAATTTTGCACTCGCTAGGCCCTTGTTCTTGCAAATTTGCACACGCTAGGCCCTTGTTCTTGCAATTTTGCACACGCTAGGCCCTTGTTCTTGCAATTTTGTACACGCTATACCCTTGTTC